GATGAGAATATCATCAACATATAGGAAAAGAATTGTTATTCCTGAAGAACAATGATGAGTAAATAGCGAATAGTGATGAGCACTTTGTTTCAACCCAGCATGTAGAACGACCTGTCGAAATCGTTCAAACCAAGCTCTTGGAGCTTATTTTAAACCATACAAGGATTTTTTCAAATGACATACCATAGATTTATCATTGCAATAATCAGGAGGAGGTCGCATATATACTATCTCTTTCAAATGTCCATTGAGAAATGCATTTTTCACATCCATTTGAGATATAGTCCACTGCCAAATAACAGAGAGGGTAATTATGGTTCGTACAGTAGTCATTTTAGCAACAAGAGCAAACGTTTCATCGTAGTTTATACCATACGTCTGTTTGTAACCTTGAGCAACTAATTGTGCTTTATATCGCTCAATCCTTCCATCAGATTTAAGCTTCACAGAAAAGACCCATTTACTGTCAATAATAGATGAGTGAGGAGAACACAGAACAAGATCCCATGTATCATTTTCAACAAGGTAATGATTTCTGCATCTATTGCCTCTTTCTAACAAGGCATAGTCAAGGCTTGCTGGTATGAAAAAGGAATATCCATCGAATCTAAAGTGGCAAATAATGATCTAGGGAGTAAACAGAGATCTAGGTCTTTAGAAGGAACCTCAATTGTATCAAGAGAAATAAACAAAGCTTTAAGCTGTAGTGAAAATTCAAAATCATCAAGGGAGAAGCCATATCAATCAGGTGGGTGAGGTACAAGTAAAGAACGTCGCAACTTAGTAGATCTATCAATATGAGTAGGAAAAGAATCACTTACAAGTAGGGTGAAGGTTTGACCTTACTCTGGTTGGTGAGATGGAGTGTGCGTAGATTGGTGTTGTTGGCCTTGCTGTTGAGGCACTAAAAGGTGTGATGGTTTATCAGTAGAGAAATATGCAAAGAAAAGAGCAAAGGACCCTGAGGATTTTGCAATTGAAGAGTAATAAAATATGCTTTTCAAAAAGACACAATTGCGAGAAATACGTATACGATGAGCTGTTGGATCATAACATAGAAACCCTTTTTGGTTGGGACAATAACCCACAAGTTACTGCTTGAACCGAAAATTTTGTTCGTTCATGCTGAGGAAGATGAACGAAACATACACACCCAAAAACATGCAAGAGAGAATAATTAGGATGAACATCAAATAATGAATAATATGGAGATTATTTATGTAAAACCAAGGATGGGAGGCGATTTATGAGATAAATAGCTATTGATGTAGCTTCAACCCAAAAACTATGAGGAATACGAGAGTCATGCATAAGGGTCCACACAACTTCTAAGATAAGACGGTTTTTCCTTTCAGTTGTTGTGGAGTATATAGACAAGTTTTATGTGATTGAATACCCTGTGTTTTCAAAAAGTCTTGAAAATCATTTGATAAATATTTTCCCCCGGAGTATGACAATAAGATTTTTACTTTGGTATTAAACTGAGTTGTAATCATGGATAAAAACGTTTTAAAATGGGAAAACACTTCTTATTTATGGCGCATAAAGTATATCCAGATATATCGTGTACAATCATCACTAAACAAAACAAAATACTTATATCCCATTCTGGATAAAGTTGGAGCAGGACCCCCACACATCACTATGAATGAGATAGAAAGGTGCAGTTGTTTTATCTACTCGAGTCAGAAAAGGCAAACTGGTGTTGTTATTCGAATAACAACTAATACAAGATTTATTAATAGAATTCAAATCAAGTGCTTTGTTGGGCAATGAACCAGAACGAAAAAAAGTATCTAATTTATTTGCATTCGGATGACCAAGTCTCCGATGCCACATATGTCATTGTTTATTGGAAACAAAAAAATCATAATTCGATGGAGAAATGAAGGAAGCATCATGGTTTGATTTCTCAAACTCCAAGGCAAAGAAACGACCAATTCTATGCCCTTCCCTGTCACTCTCCTAGTGCGTTGGTCTTGTAATAGACAACCATCACGAGACAATTGAACATTGTAACCATCATCAACTAGTTGTCCCACAGATATTAGATTAGCAATTAATTTAGGAACGAAGAGGACATTATGTAAATGAAAAGGTGTACCACAGGAGATAGAAAGTGAAAGATTATCAGTACTAATAATATTCAGTTTCTCCCCATTAGTGGAGAGAATTTGACTATTACTATGGTATGATTTAGTAGATACTAGACTTGTGTGCACTCCAATCATATGATTAGAGGCACCTGAGTCAATAAACCAAAGGGGATTTATACTAGGGGATAGGTGAGAGTTCATGCCAGACAAGCCCATAACAGAGAACGCAGAAGAGAGCCGTAAATATAGAGTTTTGTACGAACTGTCGAATATCATTTGATGTCTGGGACATTGTCATATTTGGGTCATGAATAGTGCTAGATGGAGGGGTATCTACCTTTAGTCCCTTGGAAGCATCATTAGCATCTTGGTATGCCCTGTACAAAGGTTTTTGTGTATCAAATGCCCGGTTGCCTCGTCGAGAAGGATTTCGACATTCTGTAATGATATCTCCAGTACGTTTGCAAAAAGTACAAAAAAATTTCTTCTTACACTGAGATGCTATGTGACCATATTCTTTACACTCATAACATTGCAGCAAATATAGATCCTTTTGTGATGATGGTCCTCTAGCCCGTTGAGCTACAAGTACAGACTCTATATCCTTTTTTCCCTCAATGGTGGCTTGGGTCGTGATTTTTCTTTCCTCACGAAGTAATTCAACCTGAAAATAGCATCCATATTTGCTATTTTTTTACGATTCAAACTATTGGCTCGAACAATCTCATAGTTTGAGCGCAATTTCATCAAAAACTACATCACCTTCCTGTCACCATTTTTCTCCATTAAGCTCTGAATGCAACAAGCACTAGTGATAGCCTTCAAGTTTACATATTCATATTTTGTCCACAAGTTCATGAAACCAGCATAATATTCCTGAACGGTTTTCTCCTCTTGGCTATAGGAAAACGTATCATACTCGATTTGGAAGAGTCTTGCAAGATTTGAATGCTAATAAACTTTTTCCAAATATTCTCATATTTCTTTAGTAGTACGGAAGCCTCTCATTGGCCTTCCAATATCCAGATCTAGAGAGCCGAGGATCCATAAGATAATTTTCGCATTGTTAATCTTCCATTGTTGGGTATCTTTAGTATTGAGTGTTGCCGGTTTAGGTTCAGTGCCATCAACATACCACCACAAACCTTTCCCTTCAACAAAAAATTGAAAATGTAACCGCCAATCGGGATAATTTTTCCCATCAAGTTTTATAGCCAATACATCTCCTTTTTAGAAGCCATGTGTAAATTGTATCAGAACTCACAGACGTGATCAAGAATTTGGATCTAGTAAATAATTCATGAACATAAAAAAGAGTTTTGATATAATATGGTCCCTATGGATGACTTCCCTTTTGTTTTAAAAAAAAGCGCAAACAGATAATCTTGGCCTTGACCTAGTCCGTAACCTGCTTCACTAATGCTGGTGGCAGCCTGCGAAACCCTAATGCTTAGTTCATTCTCCTACAAATCAACGATGTCCAGAAGAAAGAAAACCAGGGAAAGAAAATGTAACTTTGGGACCAACTGTTCGAGAAGGTGAACATGTCTTTGGGGTGGTTCATGTATTTGCCTCTTTCAATGACACATTCGTGCATGTCACTGATTTATCTAGGAGAGGCACTCGTTTGAGTTACAGGTGGGATGAACGTTAAGGTTGATAGGGATGAATTGTTCCCTTATGCGGCTATGCTTGCTGCTCAAGATGTTGCACAATGATGCAAGAAGCCTTTCTCTCTCTCACTTGATAGGTATTTCAAGAGCTTCAAGAGCCCAAATAAAAGCACGTAACAAAATTCCAAGTGGTCTTCTCACCCCTTGCTTGTAAATCCTTACTGGTTCTTCCCCGTTGAGAGGTAGAGGTGCGTGATTAGAGAGAGGCAGAGGTACGTGTAGAAAAAAAACCACATGGCCACACGATCAGGAGAAACTAAGCTTTGATACCATGTTAAACTTTTGAATCTTCTAGGAAAATCATTGTGTATTGATTAATCATCAAGAATATACAGAGTCCCCTATACATATATGGCTAATCAGTTATTGATAATAATGAACTAATCTAGTGTTATCAAGAGAGATATCTACATCAAATACAAGATAACATAAAATTAAAAACTATCCTCAACTATTTCTATCTCCTCGACTGTCTCTATTTCTAAAAGAGGACAGGTGAAGATTGGCTCCAAGTTAAGCGGAACGTGATTCAACCTTGAATGGAGCTCGATCCATTCCAAATAGAAAACAAAATGGGGATGCAACTCAACTTTAAATGGGATCACATTCCTGTTGTCTATGGGAGTGTAATCCTAATGAGCATGGGAACACGATTCCATTTACATGGAACGCGTTCTCGTTAAATAAGGATCTCGATCCCAATGTATTGGGAACGTGTTCCCTGTTTATACGGGATTTCGATCCGCAACTTTTACCTTCGCCGGAACTCAATCCGGAGCTTTAGGCAGCCCTCGATCCAACGCTCTGGCTCCTGGAACTAGAGACGGTCCTGCTCCTTCTCCCGGTAACTATGATTCAAACAAGGAATCACTTTCACTATAACCTTCAATAACTACTTATTTGCAATTGAATGCTAAATCGATGCCTTTGATTCATCTGATCTCTTATTATAGAGGAGTCCATTGCACTTGCAATCCCCTCTTAAACTTTGAATATGACAACACATGATACATTTCCTATCAGTCTCAAATAAAGTCCACAACTAGAACTATTTCTATGGTTTCGTAAAAATAGCATTATTCTTTTTTGGTAATTCAAGTGCTACTGTTCAGATTGACGCCTGAATTATAGGGGGAAAGTACGTGACAATTTTTCAATTCAATAAATCCATTATTTTGGAACATGGCCTATAAATTGAAGGCAAATGCAATAATATTTCATCCAAACAAAGATGGAGTTATCAAAGTTGTCAAATAGATGCTTTGGCCTCACCTTATGCCTTCTCTCAGTTTATACTTTTGCACAGACACCTAACCCCAGATTCAAGGCTGTGAATTTGGGAGGGTGGTTGGTTGTAGAGGGATGGATCAAACCATCTCTTTTCGATGGGATACCCAACAAAGATTTGCTGGTTCGAGTGACCCTCCATGCTGTCTCTCTCTCTCTCTCTCT